TCATGTGGCTTAATCTGCTCCAGATTTCTCTTTCATGAAAAAAAATCATGTTCCTAAACCTGAGTTAAAGTCACTTGGTACTCAGATACTGTTGTGACAGGCTGATTTAGTAACATCTTTAATAGATAGTCAGGTTCACCAGCTGTAAATCAGCATAGATCTATTGATTTTGGCTGAGTTACCCTGATTTACACCACCTGAACATCTGCCCTTTATCTATCTATTTTATCTAGTCACTCTATGTGCAGCAAGTGGGTTCCCATACTCTGCCTATCACCATGGTGCTGGGGGTATCTGCGATACCTCAGTAGAAAACTTGCAACCAGAGAAGATCATATTCAAAGGACAGACATCTAAATGGAGGCTAGATAGATAGTTAGATAGATAGATGGATAGATAGAATCTATCAAGAATTTTTGAGAAATGGATGGCAGCATGATAAGACTGGAAACAGCTGGACAACAAATATTTTTTAGTGGTATAAATCATGAATTTCAGCTTCTCTACAATAAGGTTTCTCCATATAGCCACACTCCATAGCACACCTTAAGGATCATTTGGTATTTTACTAGTGCTCTATTATTTGATGATTTATATAGCACCTTGTACAGATAGGATTTGCAGTTAAACTGATGATAAGGGTCTGTTCTATCTTCGATACAAACTGGATGTACAGATTTTCTACCCAGAAAAATGGAATTCTTCCTTTTCTTTTTTTTAGTCCTTCTTGCACAGTTTGATTTTTAATGGTTTCCAGCCCTTTCAGAGGCTCTAACTTCACATTTCCCCCCCGTGTTTTAAGGAAAATGTTGCCATTAGTTCTGTGTTCCAGGGCATTGGGTAGCAGGTTTTAAACTTATGATTATAGATAGAAACTTTTCCCTTCTCTGGTAGTTCAGCAGGCTCAGACCTACCTGAATGGACCCCTTGTTTTAAGTACAGAGGTCTGATGTTAGTGAATGAGTTAATCAGTTGTATCTGTTATTTAAAAAATAAAAATATATTCCAGAAATCCTCTGTGAAATTGATACTACACTCAGGGCAGTGGCAGGTAAAGAGGTTTGGAGATCAGTCTCTTGCATCATACTTAAAGCTCTCTTTTGTGTGCACCTGTCAACCAGCATAGCCCCTGGGAGCATACTCTCCCTGAAAGTCCACAATATGTTAACTGTAAATTGCTATAGTGCCTCCATAAACTTCACTGGAACTGCAGTGACTGGCATTTTTGAGGATCTGTTTTTTTGAGCTAAATGATCATTCTTTTTTTAATTCCCTTTTTTTCCTTTAGTTTTGTATTGTGTTGTAAAAGAACACATTTTACAACAAAACTTATTTATACATTGTCTTGTGTCCCAAAGCCAAACCCAGGCATGTCTGGTCGAGGGGATGAAAGGGAGGGCTTCCACTTGTTCTGCTTCATCATTCATGTTTACTTATACTTTTAAATTTCAGTTTAAGCCCAAGAGAAAACTAACGATCCAGATAAATAACAATACATAATAAGAAGTGTTGGCAACTTTTTAAACTGAAAGTCCTTTTTTGGCGTGTCAGTTGTATTTGTTCATATGTAGCACATGTAATCAGGACTTAATAAAGCTATGTTACTGAGTGCACCAGGGCTGAGCTTTCAAACATGCAGGCCTGAAACAAGCCTGCATATCATATGAATTTGCTCACACCAGTTGATTTGGCATCCAAGGACCAGAATCAGATGCTTCAGCTCAGGGTGGAAAGTCCACACGACAGTTTTGTCCTGACACCTGGGCCACGTCCAGACAAGCGTGGCTGTGCAGTATGTGGCAGCACAGACACATCTACAGTGCCATATACCACAAATTCAGCTGTTCTCCACACTATAAGGCAGCAGTGCGGGTGGGGAGGTGTTGGGTCATTATAGATCAACTAAAAAAGATATAAAGAGCATAAGTTGTCATGAACTCAAGCTCAGTTTATCAGATGCTATGAAAGGGCAGCATAGAGCAGTGTATAAAGTGAAATGATTTGAATACAAAAGGTAGGAAGGAAGGAGGGAGTGGGAAAGGAAGGGAGACAGTGCTGGGAGAGGCATACAGGTAAAGAACTATAGGAACAAAGGGGTCACAAAAGCAAATCCAGGTAATGGCATAAGAATCCATAGTCCCTGTTTAAACCCTGCTTAACACAACCTGGTTTGTGGATGATTTCTTGTTTCACTGTTTCCCATTCAAACTATTTTTTGAAATAGTGCCTAAGAACAACAACCCTGAGGTCAGTGAAGGAATGACCAGGGAGGTTAAAGTGTTCTGGCACAGACCTTCAACTGCCTATATTTGTGCTTGTTCACATTCTAATTAGAATGCTCCAGTGTCACCTCACCGTCACGTGTATTAAGCCCCCATGCACTTTAAACTGGCTGTGGGGGTGCTTTATTTAAACCTCATTGAATGAAGTTTAGATAAAGTGTCCTGCAACCATTTTAAAATGTGCAGGGCCTTAATACACGTGACAGTGAACCGTTTTAATTAGAGTGCCTGTCCAGGAACTATTCTACCATCCCACCTACCCACCCTCTGGGAACTGTTCTAGTACCCCACCTACCCACCCCCACGCACATGTATAGGGAGCCTTTGTGTCTTTCTGCACTTGATGTCAGATTAGTGTTCATTCATGCTTACACGTAGAGATCACACCATTTGTCCAATATAAACAGGAAGTGGTCATTATAAAAAGGTGGTGGGATATATTATATATGCAACTGCAGGTGAATGAACCTTAGATGTTTACTTCTTGTTATTTGGTGCAGTGATGATGTGATCTCTAGTGATGTGGGGCATAGAAGTCATTAGGGTCCATTGCAAAGCCTGACTCAGTGAGGATGGGAGTTAATTATTCTGCCGCTTGAGAGATGCAGTTTGAAGTTGGGGGGGGGG